CAATGAATCAAATAGGCCGGCCTGACCAATGAGACTACAACCAATACTCCTTGCTCCTATGTGTTCTTGACGTGTGCAAGTGAGCAACAGCAAAGCCCGCCCATGCCGCTAGGCAACGACCCTTCGCGCTTCCTTGGCACAAGAGTTGTATGCCTCTTTGTTCACGTCCAGTGCCCCAGTGAGCAGGTCGTTTGTCAATCTTCGGGTCTTTGACATCCTTCAGACCGATCTTTTCCGCTCTGTTCGCCGCAGCGGCAGAGCTGAACCGCAAGCTCCAGGTGGTTGACTCGCTTCATCGCTCAGGGCATTGCACCACGACAGGACGGTGAGAAAGTGGCAATGCTGAGTCATCTCGAAACGGTAGCAGACAGGAAAGAGACCAAGATATGCCAAGCTGATCTGTCCTGTTCATCCGATTCCATAGTTTCAAGGTATAATTTTGCAATTTCGCTGTGGTCGAGTTGTGTAGATGGCCTTGTCAGGATGGTGGCCGCATGCTGGGCTTGCTGGATCTCTATGGCTTTGAGGTAGCCCATATGAGTCAATGTGAGTTGATCAAGTCTACCTGCGCTGTGCATCCCAGTCTTCAGTGCCGAAGCTTCGACCAAGGTCTTCCCAACCAACGGCTTTGAGCAGTTTCTCATCAACTACTGCTTGGGGCTAAGGGGCAGATGCAGCTCTGCCACCCTGACTCCTCTGTGAAGAGGTCTTTTTCGATTCTGTACACGCAGTGTCATGCACGGAAAGCTGAGCCGAAAGCAGAAGGGAGACAGCAAGCAAAACATCACACTTGCACCATCAAACTGAATGTCATGAGCATGCCGTGGCTACTTGCTTGATCAAAGAGACCCTCAAGCGATTGACTTCGCCCTTGCTGCTTAGGCAATGAACGCTTGCAGCAGTTCTTCAATCGGCAGGTGCAGCTCACAACTCACCTGCAACACAGCTTTCAACCAGCAATCTGCAGTTGTTAAGAGAGGGAGACTTTCTGCTGCTCACTACTAGGTATGCTCACCAGTGGAAACGGAAGTCATTTCCAAGAACGCCTTCTCCTTTAGTGAATTGAAAGAGTGTCTTAATTTTTTTTTAAATTTCACAAACAATTGAGGAACCAAATCATTAGTGCGAGCGCTTCTTCAAGGAAGCTTCCCCCACCGCCTTCAGGACGGCTGGGGGAGCTTCCTTGAAGAAGCGTGAGCTATCCTGCGTCCATACTAGTAGCTACCCAGCTACTACTAGCTACCTACTTCTACTAGCGGCCTCCTCGGGCTTAAAAGCAAAAGCGATCGAACTGAGCCTGATTTCGTCCCAGAAGCCGCCGCCGACCACAGGTCTTCGCTCGAGAGGCGGAAGAGTATGCTGCAGAAGGCGCCATGATGGCCGTTGGCGCCCGCATTGGGCAAGAAGACACATGACTCTTTGGAGAAGTGCCTTTTCGGTTGAGTCGCAAGACAGATACCTTCAATTGCTAATTCCTCTACTCTTTGCATTTGACAAAAGCTCTGTCTCACGAAACATGAATAGGCTGTATTAATTGGGTGAGAATCAATTGGAGCCAGCATCGGGGTTCTTTCCGCAGCTGCAGCTTGGCTTTTGTGGGACATTTTTGCAACAGAACGGAAAACATCATGACATCAATCAAAATAAATTAGAGGGATTTGTAGGGTTGAGATTGCTACTGGTATCGTAAGAATCTGAGGATTAAGCTTCAAGGATGAACTCATCTCGTGTAGGATCTCCTTTTCGCTCCAGGTTTGGATTGGGACGGCCACTGGAGCAACTGTGCAGCAGCGTGTCAGCTGCCAGCCTTGGCACTCCTGGAGGCTCATGCACTCACCGAGTTTGCTTTTTGGGGCGCCAATCTACACGTCGGACGGCCCCAGAAAATCGGTTCAACCCTCCCCAAAGCCTCAATGTGCGGGAATATGGGCTCTACAAACCAAGGAATCACGTTTGTGATCAAGAAGACACCATGGATGTTCCGCATGCTCCACCACGTAGACAACATGTTCCAAACAACAGCCAGCAAGGTTTTGCCAAAAGCCATTTGGGCCATGGCAGTTCGCAAGAGGTTGCATACTTCTGACCTTGAAAGTGCTCCTAACAGTGCTACCCACCCCTTCGAGGATTTTCATGAACCAATGATGATATTTGAGCCCACAGGGAAGTCGACTTTTCCTGAAACAACATAGTGGTTGCAGAGAGGGAGCCGCGAGGTCGGCAAAGCAGATTGGAGAAGAAGGCCCACCTTTTTGTGGATGTCATTTGCTATGTCTCCTTGGCGGTGATGACAAGCACAGATTTGGAATGATTTGGATGGTTGTGGCGCTTACATCCGAGGATGAGCGAAACACAGCTTGAGCAGTTCTTTCAGTGGTCCTGCCCAGGTGAGCACTTTGATGCCTTTTTGTCACACACCTGGTGGACGCCGGGTATCGCAATACTGTTCCTTGCTGCTCAAGACATATTGGCACTGTGCTCTCCTTACTTGGTTCACTGCTGCCTTCGTGGTTGCTGCTCTTTGCCCCATGGAGCTTCTGCCCATGCCGTTCACCTTCACGCTGTCATTTGAGCGACGGCACCGGACGCAGTCCGGGTCATGGGCAGCAGTTGTGGCGTTTGTGCTTGCGATTTGTGCTCTTTTCATTGCGCCAAATTCTCCTTGTGCCCAATCTACAAATGCTTCTACTACAGCATGTGGCATGCATACATCAGACGGACCAAGCGCAACGGGACACAGGCATCTACGGCATTGGCGGATTCTTGTTTGTGGCCAAGCAACTTCGAATTCTGTGGAGCCCCTGAGTACCTGCCTCGCATGTGGTGTTTGGGCTTTACCAAGCCATACGCGTTGTTGATTGTTTTTCAGAGCATGGACAGTTAAGAATGATCTATATCATGTTTCATCCCTACTTCAACACCAATGTTCGAACAAGGCAACACGGGTATCCAAGACCTGCGACCAGTTCACCCAACAACGATCATAGTCCAAGACCGTGCTATAAATGAAACTCACCAAGGGGTCACCGCAATGCCATTGATCTAAGGTAAACACGTGTGTCAGATACGGTGTCAGTCACCCATACGAACCGTGCGAGTCACCCATCCGTGAGAGGTTCGTGGCTTCATGACATCGAACAAACCCTGTCCATGTTTGTGCAGGACGAATATGTCTACACTACATCAACACAAACATATCATTCGATCCCCACCCCCCACCCCAACCCTCCATGTGTGTACGTTTGTGATGACACGTTGAAGCAAATGGGTGTTACTGAAGCGAAAACGCCGTAAAGAAGTCAAAAAATGCACAAAACGCCACGGCCATCTATGGCACGTGCTCCAACTACCAAGGTGCGTATTCGAGCTCGCTGCATACCGACGTGCCAATCCCACCGGCGAGTTGGTCGATTCTAGCCAAACGAGACTTTCTGATGCTGTGGCTGTGCGTGTGCATCTTCGCCTTCCTCTACCTGATGACTTACTTCACCAAGGTGTTCCAAAGCCTGAAGGTGTGCTTGGGAGGAGCTGTGCCTGGAGTGCATGGTGTCAGAACGAGCTACAAGGAGCAAAAAGCAATCCTTGCAGATCCCTTCCAGCACGATGCGGTCTCATGCTCCAGTGCGGAGGATAGGCGGTTCATTTTCTCAGCAGTGGGCATGTCGACTGACATGGCCATGCGGCCATGTGGGGGGCAAAGGCACCAACATTCTGCTGACCTTCTTCGCATCAGAGATCCTGCTTGCCTACATTTTGAACATCCTTCTGATGATCCTGATGAAGTCCCTTTTGAAGCTTTGTCAAGTGTTTGCCGAACCGTTCTTCAAGCATCGCATTCGAACCGACTGGTTGCACACCATAGCTGTGTTGCTCGCCGTGGGCATCCTTGTCTTTGCCGTGTAAACTCCGAAGAGAGTTGTCTACAATGCCTCCGGCGACACTGGAGTTACCCGATTTTGATGTTGGTCGCTGCTTACCTTGCAATCTTGATTCTGGTGTGCGCAGTGTGGCTTGTTTGGAAGAAGCTCGAAATTGTACGTGACCAGCTTTGAGGAGGACTGGCGCTTGTGAGGAGCGTGGTCGCAGATATTCTTGAACTATTTAGAGACTTTGCGTCGATCCAGGTTCAGCTCAGGCCCATGTCTTGTGAACTGTCCTGTGAGATGGCAGTCGCAAAAAAGCAGCGTTCTCCAAGCATTCCAAGCCTGGACCAAATCGTTTGGTAAGTTGTCTGTCGTATGGCACCACAACACCCCAAGAATTCCGATTGGTCTATCGCACGTTTTTAGCATTTTTCCACAAGTGGCTGTGCTTGGATCCTCATTTTTGTGCAGGGACGTGGTGGCGTTGGAATCTTCCATGTGATCGATGACCGATCCAAGTGCAACTTCGAGGAAGTGATCGGGCATACGTGCTCCTTTTCCAAGAGCAAAAAATAATCAACAACTTGAACCTTAGAATCCGTGGTCAACATCATTTGGACATCCAAGACTTGCTGATTCAAATTTGAGTTTCTTTGGCCTAAGTCTCACTTGTGTCATGTTGCACATGTTCTTCATGAAGCTGTGAGGAAGCGCAGAATGGCCTGCCCGGCATGGTGTCAGTGTTGGCCTGACAGGTCTTACTCTTGAAGACTATGAATTTGTATACCATACAAAGCACAACTCGTCCGAAGGTTTAACCACCTCCATCAGTGGCTAGCACTTACTGTATGTAAATCGCACCAAGCCAGTCCAAGCGTCTTAGCTTTGATTCAGATCGTTGTGTCTATTCAAGAGTGGTCTCTATTCTGCTCCCAACTCTTCGGCTCAAGACTTCACGCGTCCATCCGATTGCGTAACTAGTCTGACTCCGTCGGTATCTTGCGACGGGGTTGCCGTGCTGTGCTTTGGAAAGTCTTGGGTATAGAGCATGTACCAGATCTTTCACAATCGGGAATTTGCCAACTTGTCGAGAAAGCAGGTCTAAGTCTAAGAGGATTTCAGATTAGTTACTTTTGTGGAAGCTGAGCTTTGGAATTCCAACATCTTATCCGTATCCCGCGATGGCTGAACAGCAGATCCCTCAGCTTGGTGGTGGTCAGCAGTTGGTAAGTAAGGGTGGCTCGGAAACCTCTCAACAATTCCAAACATACATCGACACGCTGATTGATGGCTCATCTTCTCTCGCTTTTAAGGATGGGGTTTGATAGAAAGAAAAGGTCAATGTTTTGCCATGCTGTCCTGCAACTCCTACCGAGGTCCATGAATTATGGCGGTGCAACCGCTCTGAGTCAAGCCCTACCCTGAGCGCCGAGGAAGTGTGATGAAACTGGATTTGGCCAAGCCGAATTGACTAAGGCCAAGCCGAATCGCCCAAGGCCTGAATCTAATCGGAGATTTGTCCATTATATGACCGGTGCCCCATAGCTAGGCCAGCGCCAAATCCTTTTGCTCGGCCTAGACTCAAACTCCAATCATCAAGAAACCTCAAAATCCAAGTTCCAAGATCCTAAAGCGATGCTTCACGTTTTTCTTGGGTTCAAGTACAAGCTGAAGAATCCAAGTGCTTGGCCTTCAGCTTAATTTGTGTTGTTCCCAAATTGAGTGAGGCGAGGCCCTGTTTTCAATCTCTAAAACCTGGCAGCCCTAGCTGCTCCTGTTCTTCCATTTGGATCTTTTTTGCGAGGTTCCTGGTCCTCCCATTGGTCTATTGCATCCTCGTGCCAGACGCTCAGAAGGAAAGAATCCCATCTGATGACGTGAAGTGTTTTTGCTCCATGCCGAGGCCATGGGCAGTCTTTGCTATGGTTCTTTGGGCCTCGAGCTAGGAAACGAACTCGTTTTTTGGTGCCCCGATTCGACCCTTCTGTGCCCAGCTGGTTTCGACAGACCGCGTTCTGACGAGGTGCGGTCTTTCCGACTGCGTTTCTCGCATCCTGAGATTGCCTTCACGGTGGAGGTGGGGACCTGTGGAAACCTTCACTGGTCAGGATGTTCCGCCCATCAAAAAACGAGGCTTCAGAAAGGCAAAGGCTTTTGTGTGACTGAGATCAGCTGAATCCGCTGAAAGCAGATGCCATGAGGTGGTGATTTGGATCCTTGCGTTGTGGTTGCCTCAAGAGTCAAGCCAAACCTATAGCTGAGCAGGCTGAGCTGAAACTTCACGCCATCGATTTGGTGGGTGACCACATCATGTTGACTGCGCCTGCTGAGGTGTTTGCAATTTCTGGCTCTTGGCAGACAAGCGCTTGGCCCCCAGAGAACGCAAAACACAAGCACATGACACATGGATCCAATGGGTCATGATGTCTTTGAATGTCTTTGATATATAATCAAACAAGTCCTTGGACGTTTGCTGTGCACTTGTGATTTTCTCGTGGGAATTGGATGTGGCGAGCGGACTCGCCCATGATCCACGGCGCACGCGGTTTTATGCTGTCCCGGGCTGCACGATATTCACGTCCCATGAGACTCGTGAGGCGTCGACTACGTGGTGAGGCAGTCGATGCCTCATGGCTCCTGGGCACAGTTTGTGGGTGGGCTGTTTTTATGGCCTTTAGGCCTTTAGAACTTTAGGCCAGTGGGTCGATGATTTTGGGGAAGCCAAGATGCTCTCACGATGCGCTCCCATATGAGCTGTATGACCAATTCCAATAACCCAAAAGACGGAAGGGAAGTACTTCCGATTCCTCAAGATTGACAAGTCTCCAGAAACTAGTGGTGCAGCCTTCAATATCCCTTGGCAAATTTGTCCGAGTTTCTTGCCCTCACCCAGGCTCAACTTTGTGGCGGCGTTGTGACCTTGGACATGGCCACATAGCGATTACATTCCTTCAACGCCTTTTGGTGTGCTTGATGTGTCTGAGGAGCGTGTTGCTGTGGCTAGCAGTTGCCACGATGCTTGGGGAGTACAACTATAAGGACCGGAGAGGGATGTCTGGTCATTCTTTGTAGATCAGCAAATCAACTTATAGTAATCCAGTCTCATCCCTTGGAATATGAATGGAGAGGCAAAGATCTTAACATGCTCTCGGATCATCTAGTAGGATCATCCAGAAGCTTACTCCTATGTTCAGATCCGTGATCAGAGACATTCTTGGGGATTCTACTTCAGTTGCAAGCGATCCTACTAGAAGATCCGAAGATTCTTGGCAAGATAAATACATTGGAATTGGAGCCGCTAGTAGTATCTTCTATTGCTTCCAGGCCAACATGGAGCCTTACTACGACATAGCTGCTCTACAGACATACGTGGACATCGATCCGGTGAATGCCAGGGGCGAGAATCTCATGGATGCCGGACGAATGGTCTTCACAAAGGCTATTGGATTGAACATGCGCCGACACGACAGATCTACCGTCTTCAAGTGACGCGAGTGACGTGAGTGATGCGAGTGACGCGAGTGACACAAGTGACGCGAGCGACATGAGTGACACGAGTGACACGAGTGAGATTGAATCCTAGCTTTCAAACTGAAAGGGAACTTGGAAGAGATTGGAAGATCCTGAAGAACTTGATGTCCGAAGACTTGGGCTCGTCGGAAGGCTTCTTATTTGGACCTCAAGCACTCTATGGGTTACATGGACAGTGAAACTTGGTGCGTGCCAGCCTCAGATACAAATTTGGATGACTTGCGAGGCTGTTCTTGAGACGGGAAATGCCAGTAATCTTTGGAGGAGCTTAGGCCCTTCACATTCACGGTTTTCGATTGACATCCGAGGTGGCACCTGTGGTCACCCGAGATCTGGATCAGAACAGTACGCAGTTGGTCGCAGACTTCTGGGCCATTGGGAAGAATTGCTCCTGGGCGAAATGCGGTTTCGCGTGGTTTCATGTGGTTTCTTAACCTTGTGTAACTAGGTCTTCCAAGCATCGAACCCCAACGTCCACTCCGTAAAAGTTGGAGCCTGACCACGCTCATCAGTGGTCTCCAAACCAAATCCTCTTCCTTTGTTTGTCTTTGCGCAAGGCTGTGCAGGAAGCAAGGGCGGCGACTTCAAATGTGGCTCGTGATCATCCCAGTGGGCATCATGTGTCTATCTGGTCACCTGATCATTTGACAGGGGAGTTGTAACTTAGCTTTTGCAAGGCAATTTCATTTGACCATTGGACCAGCAAAGTCTTTTTTCCTTCCATATGTTCAGTATCAATACTCTTTCAATTTCTGAAAAAGAAGGTAGGTAGGTCTGAAAGGAACGCATGAAGTTGAAGATTTGCCTAACTTCAGGTGGTCAAGCCACATTGCACACGGTGGCCTTCGACTTCTGAATGATGCGGAGCTGTCTAACTACAGGCCTTTGGGAGTAAAATTAGTAAGGCAATAAACTACTAGGAGCAAGAAGCTACTGGGGTCTCCTGGCATCGCTACTAGTAACAAGATGCTACTAGGGGCTCCTGGCCTTACTACTAGGAGCAAGAAGCTACTAGGGGCTCCTGGCATCGCTACTAGTAACAAGGACGCTACTAGGGGCTCCTGGCCTTACTACTAGGAGCAAGCAGCTACTAGGGGCTCCTGGCATCGCTACGAGTAACAAGAACGCTACTAGGGGCTCCTGGCATGGCTACTAGTAACAAGGACGCTACTGGCGGCTCCTGGCCTTACTACTGGGAGCAAGAAGCTACTAGGGGTTTGTGGCATCGCTACTAGTAACAAGGACGCTACCAGGGGCTCCTGGCCTTACTACTAGGAGCAAGAAGCACCTAGGGGCTCCTGGCATCGCTACTAGTAACAAGGACGCTACTAGGGACTCCTGGCCTTACTACTAGGAGCAAGAAGCTACGAACGGGGCACAGACTGTGACTTTGGTGTTTGGGGATTTTCGGAACACGTGCGGCGGGCGGCCATGAAACGTGAGCAAGGTTCTTCACGCTGCTTTGCCGCCAATTCCACCCCCACCCCAGCATTAATTTTCTGACTAGATTGCTCAACAAAGACATGACAAGAACCTGTCCTGTTTGGACCCTCCAAAAATGTACTGGTACTGTGCATTTCTTGAGGGCCCGTCTCAAAGCATTTAACAAATTACAACGCATGACTGAAGGCTAATTAATTCATTCTGGTACAACTAGTTGCTGGTCGGTTTCACAGTGTTTCACAAACCCTGGTCGCATGGGAACATCAGACGAGTGATATAGGTTGACATCTCCTCAATGCAAAGACCCCACCTGAATACTCCTGAATATGACCGATAGAAAACAATAGACAATCTGACCTCAATCAAGAATCAAGACCAATCAGGATGGAACAACAATCACCCAATGAGTTCAAATTCAACAAATGCGTCGCTCAGACCACGTCCTGCTCAGAGATTGTCAGCATGGCACTTGGTTACATATATATATATAGGCATGTTGAAGTCGCTGACATCACCTGCCTTCATCATTGTACTTTATCATTTTCTCAAAGACATGAACAAAGATGAGGTTTCAAAGCAAAGAACGCCCTCACTACGGGTGGCCCTAGCCAAGCTTATTGTGCAAGAATGTGGTCGGCCAATAAGGGGACAGATCGACCTTCAGAGTTTTCGAAGACGCATTCACTAAGTAGGGCTTTTGCTCCGAGGCATTCGCTAAGTAGGAGACAAGAATCAACCTCAAAACCTTTTTGCAAGACATAAAGCAGGGGATCGCAGATTTCGACCCTGTCTTTTCGTGTTTGATCCCTTCCGGTTTACAGAGCCTGGCAAATCTGGCAGATCTGCGCGGTCAAGTTATCAACATGGATCAACAATTTGTTTTCCAGTCCAACATCATGTGGTTTATGAGAAAAAGGATTTTCGCCAAATCGAAAAGATAATCGAAAGGGTCAGGACTTGGTTATGGGTTGGCTTCTGGGTGAGACCCACGGGCAGGGTTTGGGTCCCAATGCTGCATGCGAAGGCTTGCTGTTCACCAAGCTGCTTCTGCCTTCCACATTCAGGCTCGTTTCTGCTCGGTGTAATGCAAACAGATTTGATGCTGTGCAGGGTTCTCGAACTTAAATTGCGTGTTTTCTGATCTCTTTCCCCGAAGGTGCATCACCCCATCTTCCTGTACTGGATGCCGGAGCCGATTGAGGAGACATGGTTCTTTCTGCTGCTGCTGCTGCTGCCGCCGCCGCTGCTGCCCTCCTTCCTCCCATTTCCTCTCGCTTGTTCCTTCTTTTTTGCTGGTTATCTTGCTGATGTTCCCTTACATTTAAGATTGCTATGACTGCTTGGGTTATTGAGCATGGCTGGCTGTTTGATGCTGTTTGTCTTGATGACAATGAATCATGTCCTTTTCGCTTCGGGTCACACCTTACTACTAGTTTTGCTATTCACTAGTCCATCCAGTGCCGTGGTATTTCGTGTCGATTGTTGAAACTTGGCACGGCACTGCAGGAGGTGGATGCCTATTCGAGAAGTGGACACAGGCGAACACATACTGTATGTGTATATATATATATATGGCCAACATGTGTCGATTCCAACCCCCAACTCAAGCACTTCGAACCTTTTCTCCTGGTTTGCAAAGTTGCATAGTCTTTGTGCCTTAAGCCTGTATCATGAACTCACATGTCTGTCACCACATCAAGTGCAGTTCATTGAACGGGTGACGTTTTTCTCGTTGACGAATGCCTTTCAGTTTACCGGACAAGCATGTTGCCGAACGATTTCGCTCTCCTCAGCCCGGTTGGTTTGAACCCAAGACACCCTGCAGTGCCATGTTCGGCAGGAACCTGCAAAGGGAGCATCCTATCTACACTGAGCTGAACTTCATCTCATTTTGTTTCATATGAATATTGTATAAATGAATGTAAATTATCTGTCTAAAAGTTGTCAGGTATTGGAAGGAATTCTTGTTAGGGGCACCCAGCTCAGCCCTGAAACAGGCTCTTTCACTGTGCCGTGCAAACAACCTTTTGGATTCAAGCGAGCCTTGCATGAAGCTGAGTTCTGAGCGGTCGGACTGCAGAACAAGCGATTATATTTTTTAAATCAGATTTGATGGTTGCATCTCCTTGTATATACATTGGTGTGTCCGTGGAAACAAATTTGGGGAATCCTTACTGGACATGGCTCGTACTCTTGGGATTTACCCCTGGTAACCTGGTACTTATAAGGTTTTGGATTCATCCACGTGCCCAAGGTGCACTACCACTTGTCCGGAACCCATCCTGGCTGCTTTCAGCCGCCGTTTGGCTCAAGACGAGCACAAACGCATGGCAGAGTTGCAGCCGGAGGGTGAAGAAGCGGGCGAGGTCGATTATGTGCAGTGTGTAGTTTCGCAGCTCTTGCCACAAGATGCGGCTGTTGTGGAGGATTTTGCCCAAGCACAAAGTATCACAGCTGAGGAGCATGTGCGATCCATCTTCTCTGCAGCCTCCTTGGAAGACACTGCAGGACGTTCCAAGCTGATCCTCAGTGCGATTGAAGAGCAGGAGAAGTTCCTAAGTGAAAAGCGTGCCCGAAAGAGTGTGAAGCTGGTTCGCGCGGCCAAAAAGGCCTTGGAACAAGCACGCCGAAACAACAACACAGGTTACAACAAGGCGCAGGCGCTTGCAGCTGCAGCCTTTGTAGAAGTGTCAGAATTGAAGACAAATTGGACTTTGGTGCAGGCTTTCAACACTCAACAGGATGCCTTGCACTTCATCCTCACGCGTCAAGCCTCTGAGTACCGGCCGGCTGGAGAGGAGTTTCAGAATTTCCGTTTTCAAAACCGGAAAGATGCCATGGCGTATATCTTATCTTTGGATCCAGTTCCAGAAGAGTATGTCAGTTGTGAGCCCCTCTTCAAGCGTCGACTACGTTTGCGTCCAGTTGCCTCACCCAAGGAGACCAAAAGTGAGATCGCACAGCAGCGTGCCAGAGCCACGCAGCGGATCCTCACGGGCGGAGCGAAGGAAGCGCCCCGAGAGGAACATCCTTGGGTGGTGGAGGCCACAGGAGACATTTTTGAAACTCCACCTCTTCGAACTTTGTCGGATAAGTTGGGTCAGCGCTTCTACTTGGCAGTGCCGCCAGAACTGGAAAAGAAGGTGCTCTCTGAGGGGTACCCGCCCCAGAAACGAAGTTCCGTGCCCTGCTTTGCCAGCCCTGCAGAGGCGGTCTCGGCTTACTTGAAGGTGATGCATCGCAAGAAGGAAGAGCGAGAGCAGTCAGTGAAGAAGAGAAAGGATAGGCTCATGGAGAACGATGACGACTTGGATGATCGGGATTGGGGTCTGTGGGAAGCTGCATCAGAACTCTATCCTGTACTGAGTGAGGACAAGCAAGACTTCAAAGCCACAGTCTTGGCAGTAGTGATTCCTGCTGAACTGGGTCATGATATCATCACCAACAAAGGTGGTGGCCTCCTGATCCGAACACGTGGCAAGGTTCTCCCCGCCAGCTGTTTCTCACGGGTGAAGCGGAGTGATGCACCTTAAAGGGGTGCCTTTTTTTCCGGCCCACCCGATGGGAGGTGCTCCAGGAGCTGTAGCTGGGATAGCGCAATTAACAGTAACTCCCACAAGGCTATGCCTGGAAGTCGACCATCTGTGCAGAGTGAGACGCCAGCGTGAAAGAAAGGCAAGATTGCACCATCGGTGGGGACGACAAGTGTTTGCACAGGTCATTGTAACAAGATCAAATTTCGTAGGGCCAGTGCATCCGGGTCTTCCAACAGGTGATTCCACGGGTCAGGCTTTTTGAGTTTTGAGGTCTTCCTGGCAGTCTTCTTTATCTCGAAGCTTGCCCAGTCTGGGAACCTCAGAAGTGCTTGACAGGCTCGACACGGGCTGCCCACACTCAGCACAGACGGGGTAAACACACCGTTCTTCCAAACGAAAAAGAGTGTGGACACCGCCCTTCCCCCCGTTTCCCCTGCACGGGGTCTTCCAACAAACGTTCTGCCAACGGCATCCCCAAGGTTCTGATCTGGCAACGTTCTGCGTGCGAGCGGAAGAACCGTTGCGAAAGAAAGTCGTCCTGCGCAAGCGGAGTTGTCACACTGGGAGCGAGTTCTCTTGTCGGTGCAGCAGTGATTGTGTTCCTTTTGAAGGTTGAACACAACGACATGGGCAGACGGTCTCGAAGACCAGCCAACTTTCCATAAGTTTCGTTTACAGCGTCGAGTACGCCGCTCCAATCCCTTTTGGCCTTGCATGCGGCAAGTGATAAAGATCAGACGTGGATCAACCGTGATCAACCTAGCATCTCTGTTGGCTATAGTGATCCAAAAACAGGTCGAACAGTACATGTATTGGACATTGCTTCTATTCGAGGACCACTGTATACTGCAGAGAATCAAATGAGATTTGTTTGATGCCCCCTACCTCAAAGAGGTTATCAGTGACCAAGATTCAGTCGAGCGCACCAGGTTCCAATACCGTTGGAGCCTTGGCGGAGACTCTCAGCATCTCCTGTTCCAGCCATCAAGCTTTTTGCCCGGTGCTGAGATCGTCGAAAGGGCGTTTTGCATAAACATCTAAGCTAAGATTTGTTCACCATCTTTCTTTCCCTCCTTGTCTCCGTACGTTTTTCTTTTGAACAGGATTTGTTTTTTTTTTTTGGAATGTTTGGGGAGGTTCACCGAAGAAGAAAGCAAAACGGATGGATTAGCTTGGCGTGGCTTTGCCTGCATTGTGTGCCAAACAGCCTCATTGGCCAATCTTCTCGGACTCCAGACTCCAGCTTCAGCTGCTCTTCCCCACAAGGCAAAGGATCATGCTGGATGGCGGGGGAATTCTGAGGCCGTGCCAGCGGGCGCGATAGCAGGCTGGAAGAAAGGGCGTTCTGCGCATTGCGACCGCTTATGCCACGCTAAAACTCAGCACCCGGTTGACCCAATTGACCCAGTTGACCCCGTGAGATCACTACTGCTGCTGCTGCTGCTGCTGCTGCTGCTACTAAAGCAACCACTACCGCTACTGCTACGGCAACGGCTACGGCTACGGCTACGGCGACCACCACCACCACCACCACCACCACCACCACCACCACCACCACCACCACCACCACCACCACCACCACCACCACCACCACCACCTATGAAGTTTCACTTCAGGGATTTAACAGTGGTCAACCAAAATGAAA